TGCGAGTGAAACATTATATTGCTATCTGTCTTCTGGATTAGCATAGCATCTTAGCCTAACAGACTCCTAATTTTGTATGGATTTAAACAGCAGAGGCGACAACAGTCAGAAGGAAACTGTCAAGTATCTGAGAACAAAGTTCCTGAGAGAAAGTTTCCAGTCATTAGGATGGAAAATGACGACTGTGTAGATAAAAACACACCTCTTTTGGTTGATAGAGGTAGACAGTAGACAGAAAAGAGTTTCAAGAAAGAAACAAGAACATGCTGGGTCAGTTACTGCCCACAAACTAATGTATGTTTTACACCTTCAGAGCAACAAGTTGAGCATCATTTGATTATATTATACTGAAGTGAAGCCAGACACCTCTAAAGTCAATATCTCCTAAAGTGGGCAGCTCACACTTGGAAAAGTCCAAAAGGATAAACAGCACTGCAGGCCACACAGGAAAATCTATACATTTGTGTTTTAGGTGTCTATTTTGATGAATAGTGACCTTAAGGCCCAGTTGTGTCCTGAGTGTACTCACTGCTGGCTCCCAGAGCTATGATCAGAATGACGAGGAGTGTAGCCGTCAGAGCAGGAAAGAGCCATCGTCTGTACCTGGAGAACCTAGAGAAATCGACAGTACGAGGCTCTGCGGACAGACAAATAGGACATGAGTTTTTCATTTTACAGAACACACAGACAGGTGGACACAAAGACAGGTGGACACAAAGACAGGTGGACACACAGACAGGCACCTTTGTTCCAGAAATTGCTCATTTCTTCGTCCACATTGTCATGGTATTCAGTCGTCATGGCGATTCTGGTCTCTGGGTCTGTCTCTGCGTGAAATGGCGTGCGTCTGACTTCGTCTTCGTCCAGTCCCCAATGAACAAACAGGCGAACTGTCCAAACACAGCCTCAGGTCATTGGCCACGAGCTGCACTTTGCACTGGAAAACACCCCCTGTGTGTGTGTGTGTTAGCTGATTACTACATTGAGATAATCTACATCAACAACTACAAAGAACTAAACTTTCATGGAAAAAAGGACAAACATCCGAAAATACCTGAGTCTGGAGCTGCAAACAGACTAAAAGGAAAAGTGACGGACAAACAGATAATCATTAAAATGTTTTTGAGTAGCAGTGGCAATAAAGGTAAAGAAGCAGTGACAGACACAGATTTGTTTTCAATTATTTTAATGTATGTCATAATGTCTGACTACAACATGTCAGTCAGCGGTTAGAGATCTTGCACTTTCCTCCCTGACACTTTTCAATCAACTGCTGCATCTGTTGTCCATCATACTGGAAAAATATAAACAAATGAGGTGTGATTTACAAAATAACATGATCGCAAGGTTCAATGAATGTCATTTACGTTTTAGAGAAACAATACAAAAGATCAATAGGAGGATTTATTAAATGCCTACATGGAACAAAGTACATCTGACATCTCATATAAGTTTACAGTGAAAGTGAATGCACAGCTACATGTCTACTAAAGAAAAAATGGGATGTTTCATTATGTACATTATATGCATATTGTCAGCATGAGCAAGAGTCTGATCTTCATTTATTTAGATTTTCAGTGTATTAGCATTATTTTGAAGCTTAAAGCAAATAAACT